ATATTTCAGTGTTTTCATTAAATACTTTAGCTATATAAACTTCATTACAAAGAATGCTTAAAACATTGAGGTTGTATTTTACTAGTGTAATTTGCTAGGTATGTTTGAAATACATTAGTGGTATATCCAAACTTTGAATTAGGATAGATATCAAAAATCACTTGGTTTAAGTCAGAGACCTCAGGGCCCCAGATCAAGGAGCTAACTGACAAGACACAGAGAGGCTGCAGCTAGAGATTGACCAGAAAAAGGATGCAGAGAATCATGAGGCCCAGCTCAAGAATGGCAGCCTTGACTCCCCCAGGAAAGCAGGAGACTGAGGAAGATGAGGAGGAGGAAGAGAGAAGGAGAAAGGAAAACTGAAGCCCAACCTAGGCAACGGGGCAGACCTGCCCAATTACCGCTGGACCCAGACGCTGTCGGAGCTGGACCTGGCAGTCCCTTTCCGTGTGAACTTCCGGCTGAAAGGGAAGGACGTGGTGGTAGACATGCTGCAGTGGCACCTCCGGATGGGGCTCAAGGGGCAGCCAGCGATCATCTATGGGGAGCTCTACAATGAAGTGAAGGTGGAGGAAAGCTCGTGGCTCATTGAGGACGGCAAGGTGGTGACTCTGCATCTGGAGAAGATCAATAAGACGGAGTGGTGGAGCCGCTTGGTGTCCAGTGACCTTGAGATCAATACCAAGAATATTAACCCTGAGAATTCCAAGCTGTCAGACCTGGACAGTGAGACTCGCAGCATGGTGGAAAGGATGATGTATGACCAGAGACAGAAGTCCATGGGGCTGCAAACCTCAGACGAACAGAAGAAACAGGAGATTCTGAAGCAGTTCATTGGTCAGCATCCAGAGATGTATTTTTGCAAGGCTAAATTCAACTAGCCCCTGTTTTTTCCTCCCTGAACTCTTGGAGCTGAGCTGCAACCACCCAGCTTTCTTTCCCACTCTTCTCTGGGACTTGTGGGCCTCAGGGCTTGGGGCAGGCATGAGACTGGCCCAGGCACACAGGTCCCAGGGCATCAGGGGAAAGGCTGGAGCTTGGGGTCTTGTCCTCCCCAGTTGGTCTACTGTTACACGTTAAAACGATTTGCCCAGCTTAAAAAAAAAAAAAAAAGTCGCTTGGCTTAAACAAAACTTAATTGTTCCACAAAATTACTTTGGCTCTACACACATTTGCTAAATTATTAGATTTAAATAATAGAGGAATCTGTCTGCAACAAATAGAGTCCCCCCTCAAAAGACTTTCAACAGACGGAGTGAAACGTTGTGTATAAGCATGTTTTAAGAAAACAGATAGGAGAGACAAATTATTACATTTCTTTTGGGTGTATTTTCTGACTATTAGGATTGCCTTGATTTACTATTAGGTGAACTATGAATGAATAACACATGACAGCAAAAAATGTACTTGATTATGTGTAATTAGATGTTACAGAGTCTTGTGAATGTATCTTCTTTATTTTAGAAAAATTAACTTTGACCACAGCTTGATACGTCAGTCAAGGAGCAGCAGAAAGGCAGTATTGTGTGTGGTCATGGAGAGCATCCGAACCACACGACAGTGCTCACTGTCTGTGCATGCTGGAATTCGAGGGGAAGCAATGCGGGTAAACCACACTCGTTGGGCTTCTCTTACTAACTAAACTGTTGCCATGGGAATTTTTTTAAGTACTGAATTTCTCGTCAGACTTGTGTATTTTGTCAAATGTTCTGATGAAAGAGCTGCAGTTGTATGGGATTTTGCACAGCAATGTCTATTCTAGAGTATGAAAAAAAAAAAGAAATGTTGGGGTTCTAAACATGTGTAATATAATGCAAAAACAGTAATCCTTATGAAATTACATGCATACTGCAGTCCCTCAAATTACTATTCAAGTGTTGTTTTAAGAATAAAAATTGAGTGAGTTGAACTGATTTTAAGTGGTATAGTTTTTGGCTGGGCACAGTGGCTCACGCCTGTAACCCTAGCATTTGGGAAGGCCGAGGTGGGCGGATCACTTGCAGTCAGGAGTTGGAGATCAAGTTGGGTAACATAGTGAAACCCAATCTCTACTGAAAATACAAAAATTAGCCAGGTGTGGTGGTGCACCCCTGTAATCCCAGCCACTCAGGAAGCTGAGGCACAAGAATCGCTTAAACCTAGGAGGTGGAGGTTGCAGTGAGCCGAGATCGTGCCACTGCACTCTAACCTGGGTGGCAGAGTGAGACTCCGTCTCAAACAAAACAAAACAAGACAAAAACCCCAACCAAAAAAAAAAAAAAAAAAGTGTAACATAATGCAAAAACAGTAATCCTTGTGAAATTACATGCATAATGGAGTCCCTCATATTACTATTTAAGTGCTGTTTTAGGAATAAAAATTGAGTGCTTAAGCTGAGTTGTTTTTTAAGTGATAGCGTTTTTACACTTTGAATTTTTAAAAGCTGAATTTATATTTTTATATTCAAATAGTTTTTCAAAGTTAATATTATCAATGGCCATACATGCTTTATTCAAGGTTAGTTAAATCCTTTAAAAAATATTAGCTGCAAGGTGCAGTGGATCATGCCTGTAATCCCAGTGCTTAGGAAGACTGAGATAGAAAGACAGCTTGGGGCCAGGAGTTCAAGACCAACCTGAGCAAAGTAATGAGACCTTGTCTTTACAAAAAATAAAAGACATTGTCTTTTAGAATTTGGGAGCCTTTAAAAAGCTGTGGGCCCTCCCACCGCTATTGTGCTGGGGAAGATGTAGCAGCCTCTTCTCCAAACCACCCCTTTGCCTTCAGACTTCTCTGGGGCCAGCAACCACCCAACTAGGGACCTAGGGCCAAGGGCTCAGCTGATGACCATGGGCTCCGTGTCCAACCAGCAGTTTGCAGGTTCGAGCTCAGGACTTAGCGGGAACACCTTAGGATGCAGGAGCGGCCAGGAGTTCAAGGTTACAGTAAGCTATGATTGTGCCACTGCCCTCCAGACTGGGTGACAGAGAGAGAGCCTGTCTCTGAAACAATAAAAAGAATTAGAAAATTATCTGTGTTTAATTTTCAGCTCAATTATGATATTGTTTATCTTTGTCATTCAGTGACACCTAATAATGACTTGATTGGATTAAAACTCTGGAAGACTTTGGAATGGTAGACAGGCTAGGCTGAAAACTTAAACTCTAGCACTGCTTTCTAAGATTTCCTGTTGAAAAAAAAGGCTTCTACTCCAGAGCATTATGGTTGTGGTAGCACTAATCATGGGCTGTAATACCAAAGTAAGTGAAAAGTGCAGAGGTATTTCCTAATATAGACCAGGAGTTTCTGTTGGACCAATTGGATCTCTGCTATAAAAAATGGTTTAATTCAAGCAGAATAATTCTTTACTTGGGAATTTTTTGTTTTGTTTGGTAGGATTTTATGAGATGTTTTGTTTCTCCAAAAAGCTATCCTTACATGTTATAATACTTAATAATGTTATATATTTATTCAATATAGTTTCACTTTATGGATGAACAGAATCCCAAGGGAAGGGACAAAGCTATTGTTTTCCCAGCACATACAACCATAGCTTTCAGTGTTTTTGAACTCTTCATATACCTGGATGGTGCCTTTGGTGAGTTAAGGGTCTGCATGAAATACAAATGACTATGTTTTTAAGGAGCATTCAACAGGGCATGGGCGCTCTCTCTCTCTCTCTCTCTCTCTCTCTCTCTTCTCGTGTCTAACAATTATAGAAGATGCTGTCAGCACTGTGAATCTTATGCTTGGGCAAAATAGCTGAGAAAGGTCTTCCCTTCCCTGCTTCCCCATTCCACTTTTCTGCTTCTTGGTGAAGGTTGTGAACTCTCCACTACCCCATTTAAAATTATACATAAGAGCTAAAATGCCATCTACTGACAAAGTATTCCTTAGCTTACATGGGGAGATAAAAAATGACTTTCTTATAGGTAGTTTTTGGTGGTGGCAAACAGAGGAGTAGGTAGATAGTAGGATGCCTGAAGTGTTAGGATTCCCAAACCAGGGCATCTAAAGACAGCTTTTCTTACTTCAGTTTTACTTATCATAACAAGCTTCCCCTTGCACTCTTCCTAAAAAATAACTTTAAAAGGTAAAAATACTTCCTCCAAAATTGTCACCTTGTATAATACCTAAGTGCAGCTCACTTTAGGTCTCTACATTTCACAGGTCTTTAAGGTCTGTTGGCCAACTGGAACAAGCCCAGGTGTAGCCCAAAGGATCAGGAAAGGGAGTCCCCTAGCCATGGTAATTTACAAATGTTTTTAGACCTGTTTTTGTTCATTTCTGCAATTTTGTAGGAGGAGGGAATAGGGAGTCCAGAAACAAAACAAAACTACATGTTAAGTAAATTGTTTTTTTAAAAAATATTTTTAATTTTGTGGCTATATAGTAGATATATATATATTTATTTATATATGGAGTACATGAGGTATTTTGATATAGGTATACAGTGCAATAATAATCACATCATGGAAAATGGGGTATCTATCCCCTCAAGCATTTATCATTTGTGTTACAAACAATTCAATTATACTCTTTTAGTTATTTAGTTATTTAAAAATGTACAAATTCTTTTAGTTATTTAAAAATGTACAAGTTCTCAGTCTAAGATGGAGAAAAAACTGTAAAATTACATTGTTTTGACTATAGTCACCCTATTACGCTTCCAAATACTAGGTCTTATTAAGTAAATTTTAAGTTTTTACAGTTTTATTGATGGTTGGGAGGAATGTAAATGGACTGATACATCCACAAGAATTTAAAATATACATATAATTTGGACTTCCACTTCTAGGAATTTATCCTACAGATATATTTACACATATATGAAATGATATGAGTGCAGGTATATTCAGTCCTCAATAACAAGAGATTGGAAACACCTTTAAGGAGACTGAATAATGGTGCATCCTTACAAGAGAATACTATGAAGCCAATAAGAATATAATACTTTTAATGGATATTTTTAAAGAGCTGAGTATAATATGTAACTATTTGGGCATAAATAATTTTATACACATACATGTATACATACATCTTTCTTTATGCTTGTAAAATATATGGAGTATTTCTGGAGTATGAGCCCCTGAGGTAGAAGACTGTGGCTGGATACAGGGTGGACCAGAGACTTATTTGTCGCTGTATCTCCTTTTTGTATGAATTTTGTACCATGTGAATGTTACCTTTTCCAAAAGTATGTAAAAGTTAACTTTTTAAAAAACACAATGAATGGTTTGTACCAGAATTCATCACCCCATCAAACAATAAAACATGAATTATTCAAGTTATAACATCATCTAACAATTTTTTTTGTAGACCTTTGTGTCACTTCAGTGTCAAAAGGAGGATTTGAAAGGGAAGAAACGGCAACATTTGCACTGCTGTACAGGTTGAGAAATATCCTATTTGAAAGAAGTATGTCCATTGTGAATGTCTTTTTTTTTCTTTCCTGGCTTAATGCATGAGGTTTTCTATTCAGTAATCCCATCTGTTAAGGAAAAATTTGAATTTAAAAGCCTGGCTGGTACAGTGGCTCATGCCTATAATCCCAGCACTTTGGGAGGCCAGGGCAGGCAGATTGCTAGTGCTCAGAAGTTTGAAACCAGCTTGGGCAATGTGACAAAACCCCATCTGTACAAAGAATACAAAAGAAAAAAAATTAGTTGGTTGTGGTGGTGTGCATCTGTAGTCCCCGCTACTTGAGAGGCTGAGGTAGGAGGATCACTTGAGCCCGAGAGGCGGAGGTTGTAGTAAGTGGAGATTGCGCCACTGCCCTCTAGCTTGGGTGATAGAGCCAGAAAAAAGAAAAAAGAAAAGCCAAATTATTTCATGACTAGTGGATTCACATATTTATTAATGCTATTTGCATTATGTATTTTTCATTTTCACTTCTAACACATTTCTGTTCTGTTTTTGTCTTTTTAGATAGAAGAGTGATGGATGTAATTTCTCGTTCACAGCTTTACTTGGATGATCTTTTTTCTGACTACTATGACAAACCTCTCAGCATGACTGATATTTCACTCAAAGAAGGGACCCATATTCGAGTTAACTTACTTAATCACAACATTCCCAAAGGGCCGTGCATACTCTGTGGAATGGGGAACTTCAAAAGGGAGACAGTTTATGGGTGCTTTCAGTGTTCTGTTGATGGTCAGAAGTATGTGAGACTTCATGCAGTTCCTTGTTTTGATATTTGGCACAAGAGAATGAAATAAAATGAAAAATGAATATACCATGTTGGTGTTGTAGGTGCGGTTGTGCCACAAACCTTCCCTAAATTATCTAGGTTTGCTTTGATGAGTTAAATTAAAATGAGAAAAACAGAAAGAAATTAACCTGTCTGGGTATCATTTTCCCTATCTATAAAGTAGTGATGATGACAGTAGTGTCTGTTTCTTAAGTTGTCATGAAAATTAATAACACTGTTTATATCAAAAAAGATTTACATGTAACATTCAGAATAGAGATGTTCTTTCATAATCTTGCCAGTCACTTTAGAATCATTTTTGGGATGTAGTCTATCATTTTAGATAACTTTTTTTTTTGTTTTTTAAGACAGAGCCTTGTTCTGTTGCCTAGGCTGGAATACAGTGGCACGATCTTGCCTCCCTGCAACCTTTGCCTCCTGGGTTCAAGCAATTCTCTGCCTCAGCCTCCTGAGTAGCTGGGATTACTGGCGCCTGCCACCACCCCTGGCTAATTTTTTGTATTTTTAGTAGAGATGGGGTTTTACCATCTTGGCCAGGCTGGTCTTGAACTCCTGACCTTGTGATCCACTTGCCTCGGTCTCCCAAAGTGCTGGGATTACAGGTGTGAGCCACTGCACCTGGCCTAGATAACTTTTTATATAATTAAGAAATTTTTCTAAATACCAATTTTATTTTCAATCAACTTTCAATTCAACATGTAAGGATGACAAGACTGCACAAGAAGCAACTTTATGGTGTTTCAACTATTGCCTTTGGTCTGGTAAAATGAGAAAAATGTGTTAATAATTTAATGCAATCCTAAATGTTTAATTGCAGTATCAAATTAAAAGCACACTGAACTCAACATGGGGTTTTGTGTACACAGTTAACAAGGTGACTGATAGTAGTAATGGGCTGCCATTCTATGATGTGGGTATGCTCATGAGTTTCGTCTTCATAAAACGCAATACTGTCATTGTAAAGTTAAGACAGATAAGACACATCTGTTTCTTTGAAAATGTTTAAAACATTTAACATATTCAGTTCTGAAAGATATTTTTAATCTACTCTGTTGAGAAATCTGAATTTTTCATACACAACCTAAATTACTATTTACCTTTATTAAAATGTATAATGAATAAAATGTTAAAATTCTAGAACTCAAAATGTAGTCACGGCACTGAATGCCACATATATGCATATGAAGGCAGAAGGCAATCATGCCGATATGAAATACTTCTACACTGTATTGTATGTAGAATGATTAGAAATTTATTTTTAATTATGTAAATACAAGTTTTAGAATGAATCATCTCCCTATTCATGTGGCATTATCTGTCATTTTTTAAAAACAAGTTTAAAAGCACTTTGTATGAAAAATAATGGGACAAAAAATTAGAATTACAAAGTTTAGATTATAGGGTGACTTCTTAATATGGATACAGAGAATGGAGACAGCTTCCAAACCAAAATAAAGAATATTGAGTTACTTAGTTTACTTCAACGGAGCAGGTTTTTCTGAGGGAAGGCAATGAAAGAGTAAATGATTAAACACGTGAGAAAGTGTTAGAAAATTGAGCATAGAAATGAGGAAATATTGGGAGGAAGGAAAAGATAGTACAGATCCTTGTTTTATGAGGTGTCAAATTATGTGCTAGCCATGTGTTATTTACTAATCTCATGGTTGTGTTACCCCTATGTACACTTGTTTTTGTATGTACTCATATGAAAGCCCTCTATTTTTAAATAGAATTTTTGATAGTGTAAAGAAGTTAAAGGATGAACAATGGTTTGGAAAGAGCAAGTTTCAGAAGGTAGAAAAAACTTTACTTGTTGGGAACTCAATTATTTTGAACAGAGCTATTTACTGTCTGACCATACTTTCCTATATATGCAGTGTAGTAGTCCACTTTCACACTGCTGTAAAGAACTGCCCTAGACTGGGTAATTGATAAAGAAAAGAGGTTAAATTGACTCACGGTTTCCCATGGCTGGGGAGGCCTCAGGAAACTTACAATCTTGGTGGAAGGCAGGGAAGCAAGGACCTTCTTCACAAGGTGGCAGGCGGGAGAATGAATGCAGGAGGAACTATCAAACACTTATAAAACCAAAGATTGCATGAGAACAGCATGGGGGAACCACCCCTATGATTCAGTTACCTCCACCTGGTCTCTCCATTGACGTGGGGATTATGGAAATTATGGGGGTTATAATTCAAGATGAGATTTGGGTGTGGACACAAAGCCTAACCATATCATGCAGTATGCAAAATCTTCTATGTTCTGATAGATACGTGCCCTTTCTTTGGTACCAACGTGAGCTTCTACAGCATCTCTTATATACTATTCTCAAGTCATATGATATCATAACTTGACCATGACACAAAACTGCCATGGCATTGTATATCCTCCTTTGTTTGGCACATTTATCAAAATTTGACAGCATACCAATTTGTAATGATTATTCATCATTAATGACAAGAATGATGGGAAATGAGGTGACATAAGGAAAGAGATAACTAGAAAAAGGGAACAAAAACTAAGAAATTTCATGGCATCAATTTAAAACTATCAAGACAAAAGCTTGGGGTGGCAGACATAAAGGTTTAAAGAGGGAAGAGGAGTTGCACATTTATAATAATGTCTGAAGGAATGCAAAAGCCAGGCAGTATAGTCTCTATGCTTGCTATAAGAGGCAAAGTCTTTGGTTTGGTCAAATATCTTTAAACATTCCCCACTGGAAAATAACCAAGGCTAGAAGCTTACACCAAAAAGTATAGAGACTGTGTTGTGTTCTTTGTGGAACAGAGATATACAACTTTCTTCCTGCACATATACCAAAGGAAGACTCTTCAGTTCTAGGATTTTTATATCCTCTTCATAATGTTATAAGATGTATAAACAAGTGAAATGCTAATTCCTGGGTCCTTATTGGATATTTTAAAAATATGAGGCACTTTAACTTTTAAAGTATAAAAAAACTGGATATTAACATGCTGGTAAGGTTAAAGTTGGGAAAAGCTTGCAGTTTTTGACATACTGTGCATGTCTTCCTACATCCTGAAAGGGGAAGAAATGCCCACTGGGACCGAGAGGTCTGTTTCATGGTGCTACAATTCTCGTTTACAGAATAAAGCAACAGGAAACACAATCATACCATTCCTACAAGTTAAGTTTGCAAAACAGCCTCACATTTATTATAGCAAAATCAATGTATTGGGGAGATCAAATATCTTCTCATAGGGGAAAATAGAAAATACAACTTGAAGAACAGTGACTTTGTTTTATACATAAAGTACAGTAAATAGCTAAAAAAAGTAGAAATACAAATATGCTATAGTTCATCGTGTTGGTATACATTGTATTCCTTGGGAGAAATGAAGCCATCACCATCATGGTCATTCTTCTTAAAAATATCTTCTAAAACTGCATCCTGATATGACTTGTCACGTGGCTTCTCATCTTTTTCAAATTCCCTTTGCAAGTAGAGGTTTATCTGGAAGGCCAAAATAACATTCCTTTAATTAAAAGGCATCACAGTAAATTTCCAGTAACTTTGAGGAATATTTATAATAATGAAATTCATGTCCAAGATTACTTATAGTAAATGACACAACAGTTTGAAAAGCTATTTGAGGTTTTATTTTTCTTACTCTTTGAAGCAATGTTTTGGAGAGAAACAGGTCTTCAAATTAGTTTTCCCTAAGATGATAGATGGTTAGTGGTACATACTCAAAGATTAATATTTAAATTGAACTTTGTTGAAACTAAATGCTTTCTAATAATCCATGCTGTTCATATTATCAAAGGAAAATCATGCATGACTGCCATCAGCGAAAAATACCCAAATTGGCATTTCTATATAATCTCTAAAACTAATGAATATGTTGTATAATCAATAAAATATAACCATAGGTTTTGAAATAAAATTTAGTATTTTAAGTTTTTCTAGGCTTCTAGTGCTCTCTTCCAAATCTACATAACTATAATAATCTCTTTAATAATGTCAAATAAAGAAAGGAATCCTAAAGTATTCACTAATTATATAAAATTTCTCTATGCAAACACACATTAAAAGTATTGTCCAATATAGTAGCCACTACCCACATGTGACTAATGAGCACTTGAAACATGGCTAGATCAAAATGAGATATGTTACTATAAATGTAAAATATATAACAGATCTTGAAGGCTTCAAAAAGTATATCTAATTGATAACTTTTATATTGATCTCATATAGAAATGGCAATATTTTAGATATATTGAGTGAAGATATAACATTAAAATTAATTTCACCTGTATTTTTTTACTTTTTAAGATGTGACTATAAAAATTTTAAAATTATATGTGTAACTCAATTATATTTCTATTGGAAAGCACTAATCCTTATAATAACTAAAGAAAGCAATGCACAATCATCTGGAGGTAATGTTCAGTAAGGCTAGCATTAAAGAGGCAAGAATATTTTTGAAAGCTAGAGTTTGAGAGGTTTTTAGCAATACATATCCTACGGTCAACCCATTGCAAGTTGACTTTATTTTAGAGCAATCAGTGGACCTTAATGAAGGATATATCAACTGTTCTCAAATGGGACTTTGGTCCTACATGAGGGAGACGCATTTTTTTCTTCCAGCCAAAGTTTAGCAATCCTATGTAGGTGTAAACAATTTTTAATAGCTTCAAATATTTCTCAGTTTCTAAGTAAGTTCATTTATTTTTACATAACCAATATTGCTGATGCTTAAACTCGACTCCTTTTCCAGTACACTATAGTACAGAGGTACAGAAAGACAGTGGGTAAGAACATGACCTTAATTTTGCTAGTAATGGGTTCCACACTATTTCCACTTTTTAATTTAATAGAACACTGTATTTCCCCCATCCTTCCCCTTTAATACTAAAGAAATATTTTTCTTTTTCTTTTTTAAAGATGAAACTGATAAAATAGTTTACTTAATCTTTCTGACAATGAATAAGTTTGCTTTTTTTTTTTTTTTTTAGTTCATGTTTCTAATTCAGGCTTTGCCTTGGATTTGCTGTATGGTCGTGTGCAAATTAACCTCTCTGAACCTCAGTTTTGTCATCTGTAAAAGGAGGTAAATAAGTATCTATATTGTAGGATTGATGCAAGGAT